AAGTAGGTACGTGGTGGTGGTAACGTAGTACTAGTAAGTATACTAACTACTAGTAGTCTACTACCTACTACTACTACGTACGTACGTACATAGTATAGTTATTAGTAGTATATATATATATATATATATATATATATATATATATATATATGAGAGGGTGAGAATTCGCAATGAAAACGAATGCTGATAGCACAAATATTAATTGAGATATATTTCTAGCAAAGATGCTTATGACAATAAAACTAACATGGCTGTCTCACCTTCTTACCAATAAACCTTTGATAGAAACTAAAATGATAAAATTTACAAAATCAAACTCAGAATTTTCACTGTTAATCATCACACTTGAAACACTGACTCCCTTTTGATTATGTACGTATAGGCCTAAGGCTAATGTTAGACAGACACAACCAATAGAGTCTAGGAAATATGGAAGGTCTAGATACCATGAGAAAAGCAGGAAAATCCATGAATTAAACAGAGCATAATAATGGTAACTGCAAAATTTTCTATGAAAGTTTTAGTCAGTATGAAACAGAATAACAATAAATAAAATAAGGCTAGCTGTGCCTCCCTTCAGGTCAATATAAGCTACAAGTGTGAACTACAATACATATCAGTGGTGTGTGTGTGTGTGTATGTGTACATGTGCAGCACTCAGGCATTGTGTACGTATTATGGTATAGTAATGTGTGTGAGAGTTACTATGGAAGTCTAGTCTTACAATAGACTGTACTTGGCAGTGGGCCAAGCTGGTTAGAATGGAAACATTGAATGTGATTGGCCAAGACTGTTGTTCTGTTTAAAAGTTTTACAGGTCAATGACTGTTTGTTTTCTTAAGATATTATGTAATATTAGCATGGTTTGGGCTTGTTTTTTCCAATGTAACAAAACTTCTGGGATCTTTTTTTTTGAAGATCAATGTTGTTTTTTCAGACAACAAATACAGCCTTCCAGACAATTGCTGAAACTTCCTTAAAAATGAGCCCTGACCTCTTTGTTGAAATTAATCTTAAGAACTGTTCACTTTTCTCTATTACAAAAAAACATATTAAGCATTGTAATGGAACAATTTTTACAGGAAATACGTTGATATTTAGAACAGGCCTACAATAAGTAAAAACTACCAGTAAGGTCAATGTGTTTTTCTTCCTTCGAGTAGCTGTTTGGCTAATGTTCTGCAAAAGCCCTCCAATCAATGACAATGGCATATTCAATCACCAACCATATACAAACAAAAAATATATGAAGTAAAAAAGAGATTTTTTCAAAGCATAATATCCGTCATTTAAATATTGTTTGATAATTGTATTTTTAAGAACCATATATAATCTTAAAAAAATATATTTTGAGTAACAAGTAGTTTGATTGCTACACTCTTAAAATTTGATAGGCAGAGCAGAAAGAGTCATCAAAAATAGCCTGAAGAAAGTAATGTGTTATTTGAAGATGATTTATCTATGAGTATTAATAACATTTAATTTTTGCTTACTAAAACATCATAATAACAATAACAGGTACCAAACAGTTGCATTTCGAAACAACAAATCTTTAGAAAAATCTTACAAGATTTTTTAATTTGACAAATTAAAACCTCTTTAAACTTTATGGCTGAGTTAAGCCTAATAGGCTTACTTCACATATTTAATTCACTATACTATAGAACTGGGCAATTAATTTGATTACCTTTAACCATAGATTATATTGTGTAGTATCACATAAAACAATAAGTTAATTGAAATTATGATTGTATTGATTAATGTAAAAAAATGATCAATTAATGTTAATGATCATTCCAACTATACAGTAATTGGTATTATGATTAAATCAATTAATGTCATAAAAATTGTTGTTTCTGATTATTCCAGCTTTCCAAATAATTGAAATATTTGTATTATGTTTGTTTGTTAAGCACAAAGCTATAAAAATGGGCTATCTGTGCTCTGCACCATTAATTAATAAGCCTGATGATAACTTGATTAGCAAATTGCACAGCTCTACAATACTGTTGTAATTTTATAAACAGGAAATAAGATGGTTTGGAAACAGTTCCACATTCTGTTAATGACACTTTGGAAGATTTGAAAACAACAAACAGTAGCCTGTTGTGATTGGCTTACTTCCATTTTCCAGTAGCTCTCGAATGATTCAAACATTCAAGTAATATCTCTGATGTCTAGTCATGGTTCACAAACAGCTTGGAGTACCTTGATCGTTACTCACATTAATGTGATGACTGAGACAAGATTGTATGAGACCACTATATGTCTGAGGATCTGATGCCTAACTTTTATAGCAATTAGCTGAGGGTACTCATTAACCCTCTCGCTACGGATCTTCCTATGGTCAGAGGTCAAAGGGCATGTCATCACATTTGTAGAATTGCATTCAAAATTTTATTGATCTACTATTTTATGAATGTATGTCAATAAGTTTGATATTATATTGTAGATTATAATTCAAATTTCAATATTATACATTAGCTAATTTCTTAATTTAAAACTAAATATTAAAAAAAGACCCTAAATATCAATTTTTGGGTGTCATGTGGTATCTTGAATACAGCTTTGGTTCAAGTACATAGTCTACAGTTTCTTACAAATTACACACTCAAATTACCACTACTGACAAACTAGAATATAAAATGAGAACCTTCTATATTTTCTATATGCTGAGATATCACTACATTTAGTGAACCAAACACACAGTAGCCCCACCCACCTCTTTCCATTTTTGGAAATACTTGCTTAGGTACACCTACTTCTATGAGGTGTGAATAACCAGTCAAAAGTACAGAATGTCATACTGGTGGTTTTCACAATCTTTATAAGTTGGGAAGTTTTCAAGATTATTTATTTGTCTAGAACTGCCAAAAAAAGTGGTAAGTGAAAATTTTGTCCAAAAACAATACTTTTTTTTTTTACACAAATACAGTTTAGTTAGTAAGCCTGATAAATTTCAGTGGAATTCTGCAATATTGATAGAGCAATTTATAATATTTGGTTATTTCAAAATGCATATATAAAACCTAAAAAAATTATTTTGTTTTACATCCTCCATGTACAAACTTAGACAAGGCTTAGCAAATTATAGCAAGTG